TGCGAGGTCTTGGTGGTTCCTTTTACCTCGTTCGTGATTTGTGTTCACGTTGTTGCCTTTGATAGTGTTGTCGTCATCGAAAAGACTGCGACAGGTAGCGTCGCTGGCACAAAAAGGTAGCTGATGGTTCCTGCGTGTGATGTGGTAGGTGATGTGTTCCTGCGCTGCCTACTGTCACACATGCTGAACAGGTAATGTGGAAACCTCGTTAGTCGTTGTGGCGCGATCTCCAGTGGCAGCAGCCTCCATCTTACTGGCGATGATGAGCGCAGTGTTGCCGGTACCGGGATTAGTCTCCGCCTATCGAATCGAGCTGCACTTCCTCTGCCGCGATGCGTGGCCGCCCCTCTGCCTCTATTGGATCCAGCTCCTCCACTGACTGCACCGCTTTTCCGATGGCCTGTAATGGAACGCTTTCACTGAACTGCTGGGCTTGTGATGGAGCACTTCCACTGGATTGCTGGGGCCTGACCCATCACTCCGCCATCGCTCTGCGGTGCTACACCTTCGCCAGTAGTTAGCCATGCTGCTCCTGTGCCGGTCGACACCCTTGCTGATCTCGATGATCGAGGCAGCTTTGCAGTGATTTAGGATATCATTTAGTGTCTCTAGGAATCGCCTTGAGCAATTTAATTCCGCCTCGGCGAGGCCTTATATCTCCCGCCGAATGAATCTATAACGCGGTTATCGCGCCAGCTCTCTAAAGCTAAGTCGCGGTCCGCGACCACTCGCGAGAAAGTTGGCGCGTGCCGGATTCTGTACTGTAAGCGCCTATATACTGAGTTGCCTGTGATGCTGTGACGCTTGCAGCCGTCACATAATATATTTGGGGTAAAATTTCGGTTATTTTCACGAAAGAATGGCACTCATTCGTGCCTGGCGCAATGCCAACTGCACGATATTGCGAGAACTGTATAAATGTCGAAATATTTTCTGTTATTGGGAGTACAAATTAGTTCGGTCCGTTTTTTTGTGTTCAAAAATGCATTTATTTCAAAACAAAATGAATGAACAGATTAATTAAAGTATTATCCATCGCTACTACTTTTTCCCATCCTTAGACAATTTTCGAATTCCATCTTGAAAAAATGACTCGTCTTTGGAAGCGATCCAATTTTGGAGCCAATTTTCGATTTCTGCGAAAGAAATGAACTAGTGACTTGTCAAATCGTGCTGCATCCTTCGGAACAATCAATAATCAGAAGGAGCAATGTCCGGAGAATACGGCGGATGCGGTAAAACATCCCATTTGAACGTTTCCAAATATTTTTTTACGACTTTTGCGACATGAGGCCGAGCGTTGTCATGAAGAAAAATAACTTTATCATGTCTTTGCTCGCGTATTCCGGTCATTTTTCTCGCAATGCACGGCTCAAACGAATCAAGTAGCCGATACCGATCACCTGTAATGGAATCGCCAGGTTTTAGCAATTCATAGTAAACAACACCTTTTTGGTTCCACCAGATACAGATATGATCTTCGAACCATGAATGTTCGGCTTTGATATTGATGTTGAGGTCGATGGCAACGATTGATCGGGCTTAGCGTAGTATTTTTTCTTCTTGGGGTTATCGTAGAATATCCACTTCTCATCTCCAGTCACAATCCGATGCAAAAAACCTTTTCTTTGTTGTCTTTGAATCAACTGTTTGCAAGTGAAAAATCGCCTTTCAACATCTCTCAGGCTTCAGTTCATAAGGCACCCAATTTCCTTGTTTTTGAATTATTCCCATGGCTCTCAATCGTGCAGAAACGGCTTGTTGAATTACTCCCAATGATTCTGCAAGCTCCTCTTGCGTTTGACTCTGATCTTCTTCGAGTAATGCCTCTAATTCTTTGTCTTCGAATTTTTTTAGCTGTCCAGAACGAGGCTTGTCTTCAACGCTGAAATCTCCATCCTTGAAATGTCGAAACCATTCCCTACATGATTTATCAGTGTCACCATAAACAAATGCTGCTTGGTTAACACAAAATTCGACATTTCAAACACAGTAAAAATCAAGGTTTTTGTATGAAACTCAAAGCGATATAAACTGAATATTATCAGCAGATGTCTAACCTCTTTGAAAATGCTAAAATCAGCTGTCACTATGAATCATTCACAACAGCCGGAGTCATCTTTTGGAAAACGGACCGAATTTGTACTCCCAATAATTTTGAATTTAGAATAAGTTATTAGTGAAAACTTTAAAGAATATTAATCGCGAACGCACAACGAAATTGAACCACACTTGTGAGTGCGATCGTATATGTTAACTCTTGTATATGTTAAAGGATTTAAAAAACATGAATGGCTGGCGAATATATTCAATAGCAATGATTTGATTACTGAGACTCTAGATACTGATTGCGAAGATATAGAATCTTTGAATAATCTAGATGTTAAGAATTGTGTTACAGAATATAATTTAAAATATATACAAATTGGTGGTCGTAACATCTAAAAGAAATGTCAATTTCAATTTTAAGAAATAAAATATAAGATTTTCTGAATACGTTTTAATTTCTTTTCCCTTTTTACGTAATTGAGGGACTGGATTCTACAATATAAGGAAAGATGCGTAGATTTCGCAGAATAAGTATTGTTTGCAGGACTAATTTTGGATATCGCTCTAATTTCGATTTTGACGGTTGATTCTTATAGAAAATTTTATAGCGCATCTTTTTTATGTTTAACCCAAATTTGTGTATAAATACATTATCGAATATTAAAACGCAATATTCTTAAGAACCCAAAATATGTTTCAACTTTTTAATTGTTTACGATTACAAAATAAGAATTAGAACATCAATAAAAATTGTCAATAAAAATTCATCACAATAGCGTATTCCTATGCAGCAAATATAATAAGATAACTGATGTATTCCTTATCTTTATTATTTGAGGAAAAAACAATCGAGAAAAATGAAGGTATAATGATTTATTTACAACATATGATGCACTCTATAGACGTACTATCTCCGTTTTGTGAAGGCGAACGGTTCAGGATTTTCACATTGTGTGCTACGTAATCGAATCGACACATAAATCGTCATTATTTTAAACCTTAATGTTTAAAAAGCTAAAACTTTCCAAAAAATTCCTTCACTAATAAATAAAATTGTAATATATGTAAAAAGTTGACAATTTGAAAATTCGTGTGACAACTTTTATGATCGAATTCGAGAGGAATATTTTAAAAAATACGGCATTCGGCTGAGAAATTTTGAAAACTTTTTATTTCGGAAAACATGTTGAAGTTTATTCTATGAAAGTTTCAAAGAAAAATATAATATTTATATTTGACTGAGATATGGCGAGTTGAATATAAAAATATGATTTTATTTTACGAATTACTTTTTTTGTTTACAACTTGAAAATAAAAAAGTTATCAATTTGATTAAAACACAAAAAAGATACGCTATAAAATTCTTTACAAGAATCGTCAAAATCGAAATTAAAGCGATGTCCAAAATTAACTCTGCTGACAATATTTATACTGCGAAATCCATGCGTATCCCTTATAGAATTCAGTCCTTCAATTAAGAATTTATCATTAATGATAGCTCAATAAAAATACGATATGGTTCAATAAGTATGTTCGATAGCTATTCAATAATAGTTTAATAATAGTTCGATAATTAAGAGCGTTCATGTTGTTACATTTGGTTATTTGTAGTATATTGTTTAAAATTATTATAATTAGTTGCTAAATATCCTATTCAGAGGTGTCCCCTCCAATGATCTTGATCTTGATATATACTGTCAAGATCATGATCTAGAGTAACTTCCAAGGTTTTAGTTATCGCTCGTTAAAAGATTATTAAGATGGAAAATTTGAAAAATAATATCTTTTATAAAACTACTACACTATATAGAACAAAAATTTTCTGTTTTAAAATATATTTTACGACTGTCCATGCGAAGCGACTCTCATCTCATCTTCCCCCCTACTTAGGGACGCACGACTTCCACGCGAAACGACTCCCACCTCTCCCCTGTTGAGGGGCATACGGTTTTATGCGAAGCGACTTTCACGCTTCGCGTAAAAAATCATTACGTAAGCAAGCATTATAGAATAATTTATAATATTATATATAGGCGAAAGAAAACGTTATTTTTCAAACTTTTTTGTTAATTTTTAACGAATAACGGTTACAATTTGTGGGAAGTTACTCATGACTTTGACCTTAACATATGACAACATATGTCAAGGTCAAAGTCATTGGTTTCCCTAAATGGGATATTTACCGCTAAATTAAAATAATTGCTAAGTCATAACATCAAAAAAAAAATCGTACAATATCATATTTATTTAATAAAATCGCGTAAAAAGAAAAGATAACGTAGAAAATACAACGGAAAGAAGAGAGAGACGCGAATAAGATGAGAAGTATAAGATTGCAACGGGTGAGAGAGAGAAAGGACGAGATAAAAAGAAGACGCAACCGGTAGGAGAGAGAAAGAACAAAAACTTCTTTCTCCTCTATCACTCCGTGACGTGCTTTCCCTTTGTCCCTCGGACCCAGCGTTTGTGATTAGTCTGTGATGCACTTCCTCTTCCCTGACCCCGTACACAATGTATACATACCGCATATACATATAGTCATTAACACATAGTGGTCCTCCTTGCTTTCCTACTAAATACAATTTGTAAAGAAAAATGAATGTCTTTGCATAGTAATATTTAAGTATAATGATTGACTATTTTGATTTAATTAAAATTTTTTACGAAATAAATTTAATTTTACACAGTCTTTAAATTTTCCTATAACTCCGTATTTTTTAAAGATATGTACACTAGTGTGTGATAATACATGTGTGATAACTAACTACTCAGTTGAATAAAAGTATCAACTATGTTATCATAGTTATTTCATATTGATTATATTTGCATAGCTATTATTTTTTAAATGTACAAAGATATATTACATTTAATAAATAAGTAAACTATTCTTATATAACAAGCATTTTATCAAAGAATATCAAAATGAGCGAAATATAAAATTACTTTTTTAGTTGTCCGTGGTGTTAAGAAAAATCTTCTTCACACGCTGGCTGCGTGTACGACTGACAAGTGCCAACGAGTTCTGCACGATTACAAAGTGAATCAAATGTCAGTACAGGTGGACTTCGATAAGGTAAGCAGACTCAAGTCATTTCTTATCGTAAATATTACCTTAACTAATTACAGTTAATTACGAGCGTTTCTTTGTTTACACGCAGTACATGGACCGTTACTTTCCAAAGGTATGATTTTACAATAAAAAGAAACCTTTTGCAATGTAATGAAATTTAATAAAAAAATGCTTTTGGACCTCGATTTATAAAAGAATATTTGAAGAGAAAATGAGATTTTTTAGCAACCTCGACATCACTGATTTTAAGGAAATATTATCTCGAGGTCTCTAAGTGCATTGAAAACAGTGATTGTTAATGTATTGAAACGGTAGATTTGTATAAAGCTTGCCTCGGTTTTCGTTTGCTCATAATAAGGCTTCTTAAAATAAAATCACTAATGTCTCGAATCTTATCGAAGCGATTAAATCTAATAATCTTTTTCGCCCCACCATTTTTATATTATTAGTATTAAATATTTAGATTAATTAATCACAAAAGAATTAAAATAATGCATGACATATCAATGCAATTAATTCGTAAATTCAGATATATTTTAACATATTGTAGGCCAATGCAATTATTGCTTTAATGTAATTTATTGCAAAATATCTTTTTAATATCGAATATTGTAGTTACTGATACATCATGTGATCATTAGTGTACGAAGGACAGATACTGTATAAATTTATTTGATTCCATGCTTGCCACAAATAGCTTCTAGCATCTGTAAGTTGTAAAGCAAAAGCATGCAGTTTTCTTATTCTTGTATATCGTTTTACATATTGTAAATATATTTATTTTCATTAATCGATTACTTTTGCAAAATATTATAATTTGCACGAGTAAAAATATTTGCTAGATATATGTATACATTAAGTATGTTAAATTTCTTTCTGAAAGCACATTATTATTAGATATTATTTGCACTAAATTTGCTTCTCTATCGAATATAAGAAAGAAATAAATTTATGACCTTACATAAAATAAAAGAATGTATTTCATATAGAATGTTTTACTTTTCATAATATTTTCTAACGAATTTCCTTGCTCAATATGATAATTTCTCTTTAGCGAAAATATCAAATCATCGATCACTTTTGAATTGTGAAAAACGGAATCTGTGTTTTAGATTTCGAAGAGTCGAATAAATTATAAAATTTCAACTAATCGCAAATGGATTCATCGTAGTATAATTTCAAATTGTAAAAATATATAATGTTATTGAACGTTGCGGTAAATGAGGATCTTCCATGATATTTTGATTATGAAAAAATTAATTATAAATAAACTTACGTTAAGAAATAATAACACGAGAAGTAGAACATCTCATTCATTATAGAGATAATTTAAAGCAGAAAAGATTTTAGCTTGAAAACTACGATAGAAAAGTTACGAAATTATATGAAATTAAAAATTATATAAAATTATATGAAATCTTACATAAAATAATGACTACTACAATTAAAGGGGTGTGTGTATATACACACACACATATATATATATATATATATATATACAAAAACAGATGTATTATATGGGTATATGTAGTTACAAAAACAAATATTGATTTTTTTATAAAACATTTTATAAATAATATAAATATAACTGTTTACACCCAATTAATTTTAAAATATTTCAGTAAAACAATGATTATAAATCACCCTAGCGGCGTATTTGTAAAATTAAACTCGAAAAGAATATATTTGTACATGAAGAAATCAAATTAATCTACAGTACCGGCCAAAGTATATCACGTTTAGAATTTTAAATAGACCAATGAGAATAAATTTTATTATATAAAGAAATTCTATTTTTCGAAACATGTCTAATGCTTAAATATATCTGTGTGAATTTATATATATTTAATTCTTTAAATCGTGTGTCAAAATCTTTTATATTGAAACGCAATTGATTAGTTTCACTGTATTGCTAGCATTTAAACTTGTTATGTTATTACTTATGCAAAGTTTATTATTCACGCGCACGCACGCACGCACGCGCACATAGTTTAACTTATTTTTTAGATTTAAAATAAAAATAATTTTTAACAAATGGTGTGTTGTTTTTATTATTTAATGAAAAGTCATTAGTAAACTATAGTTATATTATACATTAAAATATATTATAATTTGATAGACATATGTACTTTAAATCAAGTTATTCTCAAAAAATCTAAGATGATATACTTTTAGTCGCTACTGCATATGCATACAAAAATGCATAAACATTCCTAAATTATAAATGAAAATATTGCAATATGAAATATTATACATTCAGCATGACAAAAGTTTAAATAAAAATTAAACATTTTTTTAATAATTATAAACTATTTATATATCAAATTGGATTTGTTTAATTTTTTATAAATAGGGTAATTCCCTATATACTTATACAGAGTGTGAAGATTCTTACGATTAATGAAATCATTTTGAAACGAAAATCCTAATATCAAAATCGAGGTTATAATAAATTAAAAATATCTATAATTTTATCTGCGTTTGTGCAATCTTTACGTAATCTTTATAAAAAAAAAATAATAATATTAGAAAATTGTATCATTTTATTCAATTCAAATATATAACTTTTTAAAAAATATATCTGAAATCTCTAATTGCGTCAATTACAAACATAATATACATTTTTTCAAACATTATTGTACTTTTAAAAAAAATTAAAATGTATTTCATATATTTTTTGAAACTATATTTCAAATTTATTACAAACCTTCATTTCTTAAAAATAAAATATAAGTAGTATATATTTTTTTATTCTCATTTGAAAATCTTGCTATTCCCACTTAAATACATTTTTCTGAGTTTTCAACTCAGTAAAATTTAATTACAAAGAATTGAAAAAGAGTAAAAGTATAAATTAAAAAAATATATTTCAAATAAAATTTTACACTAAAAAAACTTAGTGCTGCTATATGATTAACAATATAAAATGCATGATATCATTTTGTATTGTTAATCGTGTAGCAGAACTAAGTTTTTTTATTGTAAAATTTTATATGAAATTTTTTAAATTTATACTTTTACTTTTTTTCACAGTTTTTTGTAATAAAATTTTTTACTAAGTTGGAATAGAAAAATATATATCATTTAAGTGAAAATAGGATGACTTTAAATAAGAATAAAAAAATTAATTAATTAATTAATTAATTAAATAAAGGTTTGGAATATAGTTTCTTGCACTTCGATTTTATTTTGTAAAAGAAGTAGTACAACAATAATTTGAAAAAATGTATATGTATTATGTTTGTAATTGATACAATTTAGAGATTTCATATATTTTTAAAAAAAATTATATGAAAACATGGATTAAGTAAGCAAAATCGTTACTCTGACAAAAACTTACCCGTGAGATCAAAGATTTGTCGTAATCATTGGCATATTATCACTTTAATGCACATCAAAATTATTAGTATCAAATAAATGTGGTCAAACGTTATAAAGTTAAAATGATAAATATGTAATTGTCATAAGATAAATTGTCAAGAGATATTATAAAATTTCCAGTTATTTAAAATAAAGATAGCTTGACAATAATCATGTGTGACTGTTACGACGGTCAGAGTATAATTGATAAAATGTAATAAATGATAAATAATAGTGCCACAAAGTCAAATTTTGTTTATAATAGATATATATGCTTTATGTAAACCCTCTGTGTTTTTCTGAAGATTGAGACTGTTATCTTGTTTTTTAATATGAAGTATTTCTGAGATCAAACGTTTTTTGTAACAAAGTTCTTCGTCGAGAATTGGAATATTATCCCAATCAAAATCGTATTCAAACTGCATCCTATGATCGGTTATAACAGAGCGGGAAGACGTGTTCCATCGGATGTGACTTTTATGTTGTTTGATTCTTGTATTTAAATTATAATAGTAATAAGGCTTAATAAATTAAACAAACAAAAAGAAAAGGGCTAAGAGCCTAAAACAATTATCATAAAATAAAAGAATTTTTTGTTAATAAATAAAACATGTCATCAAGTTAAAATATAAACTTTAATTTGACCGGTAACAAGTAAAAACAAAACAAACATTTCGATCTTTGTTGAATCATTTTCAATGTGAACAAAAATAACAATGGAAATATTACATAGATAATATATAAAAATTAAAATTCGCTCTCGATCGCAGTATCAAATATATAAGTCTCGCTTCAATATAAAATGAAAGTTATAAGGAAGTTATAATCGACAACAAGGTATTCCTCTTGTGTATATAGATTAAGGACGAACATGTTTCTGTTAGAAAGTACAAAATATAATGTAAAATTGCCACAGGAATAAGAAATAAAAAATAATAAAAAAAGTACAGAACGAGTAGCAAGTAATAAAAAGAAAGATACAAAATGAGTCGCGAGTAATAAAAATAAAAATAAAAAGGCAAAAATCTAATATTATGAGAAATATACATAAGAGTTATTAATGCAGATAGAAAATGTGTGATACCGTCATACATTATATATGTTTAATTTAGTCACAAATAAATTGAAAATAAATACTTTTTATGTCGAAGTGATATGTTATCTCTTATTAGGCAATGCGATGAGATTGAATATAATCATCTCTCTAAGATGCTCAGAGACAATGTGAAGTACAAAATATAAAGACAAGAAGATTGGAGTGATAAACTAAAAAGGAAGGGGAACATAAGAGGGAGAAAATAAGATAGAGGGAAGAGAAAATGGGGAAAGGAGAAATGAATAGAAAAAGAATGCAGCTAAGAAGAAGAAAGAGATTGAATGATCTGTAACTAAGTTTCAGGTAAAGATTCAGTATCATTTTGTTTATTAAGACCTTGTTTCTGTCTTCTAATGTGAATCATTTCAGACACCAATCTCTTATTATACGAAGATTCGCAGTCTAAAATTTTTACCTCGTTCCATCTAAAATTGTGGTTAAAATTAATACGATCAGTTATGACAGTGAAACCAGTATTCTTCTTAATGTCTGAGATATGTTCGTGTAATCTCGTATTCAATTTTCTTTTTGTCTAACCGACATAACTCGCCTTACAATCGTCACATGAGATCTTATAAACTATATTTTGATTGGATAGGAAATGAAGCTTATCTTTTCCTCTTTTTATAAAACTTTTTAATGTGTGAAGGATAGAAAAGGTTAGTTTACAATGGAACATACTGGAAATAGGAAGGAAACTTTCGGAAATAGATTTGACGTAAGGAATCGTAAAATATTTGTCTTCCTCTTGTGAATTACGTGTATAATAATATATAATAATAATATAATATGTTTATTATGTGTATGAAACTTTAATCTTTGTTCAATTGTAGAGAAAATAAAAGAGAGAGAATAACAATTATTTAGAAAGGTATGAATTGCATCTATCAGATTTTTTTGTTAGAACCGTGGATGTGATAAGAGAATAATTTTATCAATGAAACTAATAATAGTGCCTTTTTTATGGCAAAGAGGATGATTTCAATGGAAATTAAGGAACCTTCCCGAAAACGTCTTTTTGTGATAAATGTCAAATATAATTCTCTGGTTATTTATAACAAGCATCGTATCAAGAAAATTCAATCTGCTTGTACCAATCTCTAAAGTAAATTGCAATCTCTTATTTAAAGAATTAAAAATATTTAAAACATTGTAGTATCAGATGGAAGTGCAAGAATGACATTATCAACATATCTAAAGTAAAACAATGGTTGTACTGACAATTCTTTAAGTGCTATTTCTTCTAGATCTTG